TGGACACTGCAGCTTCATTTACCAAACTGGAGAAGCTGTGGCTGAAATACATATATTATCCCTTTAGCCTTTTCAGACTTGCCACAGAGCCTTTAATAGCTACCCCCTGGAAACTGGCAGGAAGGTCATTTCTCGCCTCCCTTCTGGCATTTATATCCTATTAACATTTTCAAGTTGCATGGAGAGCATGTCTTTGGCAGGGAGGAAAATGTGATTTTAAAGTGATAGGCACAGACCATCCCCAGTCACAGAAATGGAAAAGGAGCCATTGGCAAAGTCTCCTACCCCCAAAGGAAACCCTTTTGGCACAAGTGGAGGCATCGCCCTTCCCCCTGAAGCCTGATGCATGTTCTAATGGAATGCAACACAGTAAGTCAAGCAAAGTCTTTTCTCTACCTCAAGGTGCCTTGCTAAAGCTTACAAACCACCACCACTAAAACCCACAGCAGCAGCCTAACTCCTCTGTCTGCATTTTGGGGAGATGCAGTGGTGGAGATGGAACAAGAGGCTTGCAACCTCCTATTTGGTGGCAGAGTCTAGACCCAAAAGTGCTCCTCAGAGTTGGCACTATTCGTAGATAAACTCCATAGAGAGCTACCGTGACAATACAGATGGAAAGCCTTTGGAAAGCCTTTAGTAATTGCAATCTATTGATTGGAGACACTACTTTGGGAATCCTCAGCTCTTTCGGAGCTACAGAAAACTCTTTATACACACACATACCCTCCTTCCATATAGTTTATGCTCCTGCTGGAGATCTGAGAACATTCAACTTTAATTTATTGTGACTGAGAGAAAACCATAGTGTCTGTGTCTCTAGTGTAAAATTGTGAGGCTTAGCATACCCTAAATTGCAGATTTTCTTATGTACTGATCATTGCAGTGCCATTCCAGTTACAGGAATTTTGAACTCAAAATTACTGTGATCTAACTCCTTCCTCCAAATTCCTAAAAAGCCCCAAGAAAACACCCCCCAAGTCCCCAAATCAGTCCCTGATGCTAGAAGGCTTGCTGTTTCCAAGAAGACTTGCTCTTGCCAGTACGGGTCAAAAAGAAATCTCTGTAAAAAACTCAGCATCGTCTTCAGCTCTCCTCCTCAAGAGCAATTCCTGTTCCTGATAGCAGACACTAACAGATCTCCCAGTTATTGTACCAGATTGCAACAACCCTCCGCAAACAGTAGGAGCAGCACTGATACAGAGGCAGTTAGCTTGACGGCACATTCGGAATGAGAACGAGAAAATCAGCTTTTCACGCTGGACATTGAGCACTCTCCAGAGACCTTTGCTCTCTCCAACAGCGACTGTCCCCACAGGAGGCTCAGGACACTCCTGAGCAGCCTGGCAGCTGTAAGAGAGTTTTCGGAGATGCCCCAGGCTCACGGTTCCCTGTTGAAAATCCTGGCCAAGAGTCACCCTGGTCAGAAAAGGAAGCAGGTTTTAACCTCTTTTTCTGAATGGTGCTGCACAAGAGAACCTTCCCCCTCCACCCCTGTCTGCTGTGCCCATTCAACTTGACTTGTTGACAAGGAGCCAAGGAGCACAACAAAAAGAAACTGGACTTTATGTGAGAGTCTATGACTCATTTACAAATGAAGTGTTGCATGTATTGTGGGAGTCAGGAAGGGCAGCATCAGTTTAACAGGTAAGGAGTACACGCAACACCCCAACACAGCTAGACTTACCCAGAGAAAAGATGGGCAGAAAAGAGTGTTCCCATTCCACAAAAAGTCTGGCTATTGCAAAAAAGTTTTGCCCACATGCAAGAACTGCAAATAAGAGCTCTGGAAAGTCTTTTCTTCCCTTCACTTAATAAAGCGAGGGAGAAGAAAAATTACTTTCTGTGGAGAAGATGGGCACTTGAGAGTGTAAAAACACCGATATTTTCTAACCCAAAAAAGCAACCAAAACTCCTTCCCTCCTCTACTCAGCTGAATGTCTAATGACCTGGCTGCTGCGAGGTGGAAAAATGGATCAGAAATTTCATCCTCTGCTGGAAGAGTAATAAGCACTCCTATGGCACATTATTTCCCTTGACAAAACCATTTTGTTGGACTTTTTCCCCTAAAAGGTCTTTTAAAAGTCTGGATTAAAAAAATAGTATAGAGTTAAATAAGAGCCAGAACAAGGCAGAGGGGGAGAAAGAGAAGAGAGGATGTATGTAGTATGTACCTACACATTTTTTCCTCCTATTCAGATACTGGCAGACTAACGTCTCCCTCACTCCTCTCTCATGCACCAAGCTTATTTGATGTAAATGCAGTAATACTTGGGGAGGCTCCTGCAGGACCTTCACAAGCTATGTTGATTCTTTAGCATCACATTCACAACTTTCTGCTAAGCCTACAACTTCTCTCTCTGATCCCACACTCTGTGCGATGCTCCAGGGATACCACCATGCTGGCTACCAGGGGCACGTTAGAAATCTTATTCTTTGCTGGTTTGGGGATTATATCTGTCACGACTTAGATACTGTAGCCCAAAAATAGCAAACAATAAAGGAACTGTGCACAAAAGCAGAGAAAGATGGACCTGTATTATCATCCAGCTGGCGCGGAAGAACAGACACGGCACCACCACAAGCAAGGCCTGCGGGAGCTGCACACAAGGCAGGACCTGGCAAGCAGGTCCTCGCTCCGGGATCCTGAGGCAGAAGCAGTTTTGAATGTGATGTGAGAAGCATTCAGCCACAGCACTGGCAGGCCATTGGACCTGATGCTACACTAAGTTTGAGATGCCTATGAAAGAATTTACTTCACACCATCTTAGACTAGAAATACCTGTTTCGGAAGGAGGTACCCAGTGGGCAAAATGAACATCTTCCTTGTGAGTGTGTCATAGCACCAGATAACAAATTTCATTTCACTTTGCATTTATCTTCACCCGCCTACTTGCACATTCATGCTTTCCACTTCGGCAACAGGATTCACTATTATAGTCTGTTACAGCAACAAGAAAAGGTTACTCACCGCAAAAAATCAGTGCCACAGTCCTGCTAACCACAACCCTCCTTTAGCAAAACTAGCCTGTTTCAGTGTGCTCAGGATCTTGCCTGTCATGGGTCTGGTGTCACTTGTTGCAGTGCCACCAAGCTCAGCAACAGGTTTCTGCAACGTCCCACCGAGCTGCTGCGACGTGGGCCTACACAAGGAGGAGTTTTACAGAGCAGACGGGAACCTATCAGATGGAAAGAACTTCTAACAGCAAGATTTTCCTTGCATGAACTTAGGTCCTTCTTAGTGCAGTCAGTAAATACAGCACTCCATCCTGGTAACTTCAAGCAACATCTCGTTAAGAGAAAAAATTAAAACCAAACAATCCTCTCATCGGAAGTTTCTGATCTGCACTTACTTCTTTTGGGCAAGTCACTGAGCCTGGCAATTCTGGCAAATTTGCTACTAAAGCACGGTAAGAGTTGCTATACAGGGAAACCCGCATAAGCAAAGGTGACTACATCAACATCTGGAGTCCAGTCTCAGAGGAAGCCTCCCTTTCCTGCTTCTGGGAGAGGACGAGGAGATGCCTAGTGAGCAAAAAGCCAAACAAACCCCACAAGCAGTCCTTCAGTAAGCAGCCTGGGCCAAGGACCTGGACACAAGTGTCTGACCACCCCAGAGTCCCAGCACTGGAATTCACCCTTGGGTGCTGACAGCAACTCAGCAGCTGCCCTGCCTCCTTCATGGCAGACAGAGTAATGACCCAGTCTGGCAAACATGTGGCTCGCAACACCTCTGGTCAGATGAGTCAGACGTGTGATTTATTCAATGCCCAAGGCCAGTATCTCCTCTGAACATCTTTGTGTCTTTCCCATCTCATTTTACATCTCTCTCTCCAACTCTCCCCAATTCAAGTGTAAGTTGATTGGAAGTATAATAAGTTGGTAAGTATAATAAATACGGAATTACAACTGCATTCCCTCCTGTTTCTCCTCTGTTTTCATGTAACTGTTTAACCTGGACAATGTGATACAGAAAAGGTAAAGCTGCAAGCAGCTATTGCTTCCTTTGTGCAGCATTACGTTATCTTTCCTATTGTCACCAAAATCATCCCTTTCATTCCACCTATAGCACACTGCTTGGAAAATGACTGGTAATAATCAAGGAAACAAGATCTCTTCCCTCCCACACAGAATCAGTCTGCAACCATCACTCTTCTCATTTTGCTTATAAGCTATATTCCTTTCCCCCACCTGTCTTGCAGTTTCTTTGTAGGTTGTAAACTCTTTGATATGGGGACTAAAGCTATGTGGGAATTCACGAAATCTTAATCAGCTCTGAGGTGTTCCACCCATGCAAATAAATGAATACTGAATCGGGGGATTAGAGAGGGGAAGGAACATCCATGTGATTTAACATTTTGTTCCCCGAGTTGACCACTGTACATATTACTACATCCCTATGAAGGAAACTACATGAAATACGTTTGGCAACTTGGGTTACAGAGAATTTCCCAGATCTATAGTGCAGTAAGTTGTCTACAGTACAAGCAAGTACTGATGTCTGTATTTAAAAACAAGATCAATTATTCTGAAGAGGCATCTTCACCATGGCACTTGGATACCTAACTACATAACATACAACACCACCACAGATGTTCCAATACAACCACTTGCATCCACGACTCTGAAGCTACAAAATTAGAAGCTCCTATACAGCTTGGCTATATATTTTTGTCCTCTCAGAAAAATCCATCCCATTTGTTAAAATAATACTACTACTAATAAAAACAAAAAAAAATACTTCTGGATATCTGTAACAACTCTTGATAATATGTGAAGAGAGCTAGAAGAACTTTCTCAATTCTGACTTCCCGCCACAACTTAAGCATCATAGTAGTTGTCGTGTGTGTGTGTGTCGTGCCATACTTGTAGATCGCAGACAGTTCACAACATTTTCTGCCCAAGTAAGTGTCTTTAGTCAGCTTGCTAGTCCTTCCAAGTAAACAAAACATCCCCCTATCCTGTAAACCTTTCCAAACTCCTGGGTCATGATCAGCACTCACCTGTGCATGTTTCCATTGGTGGTGAAGGACTGTCCACATACTGAACATTTATAAGGCCTTTCACCTGAGTGCACCAGCATGTGGCGATCAAGGGAGCTCGCTGAGCTCAGAGACTTTCCACAGATGCTGCAGGAATGGTCTGTCCCTCCAGTGTCAGTGTTATGCTAGAGAAAGCAATGATTTTTTTTCATTGAATGCCCCTTCTGAAGTGCAAGTAAAATATTAGCGAGAACTATAAACATCTTATAAGCAGCTTTGAAGAGCCACTCGGCACAATACCTTATATTAAGGTGTGCCCTGTATATACCTCTCCTCCCCAGCCCTCCCCCCTCAACTCCACCCCCACCCTTCATTTTTAACTCCTTGATGCACCAGCACAAGTAGCTGTTTCATACAGCCTTCAATGCCTACCACATGCAGCATTTCTGCTAGGTGTGCAGCTGAAGGGGACAGAAAGGGATCCAGCAACAACCCATCAGACAAAGGGTACCTTGAGATACTTTAAGCTGTGCAGTGGCTTGGGGTTGGGTGAGTGGTAAGGGGGAAAACAGAAAAAGGATGTAATTACGAACTTCATGGCAGAAGAAAGACACTTAAAAACAAATACTCTTTAAAGATATTAATTTCAAACTGACTGCGTAGTAAGAAAATGGAAGTAAATTGCTTCTGAGTGCACACGCAGACTTCTATGGCCATAAGAATGCGTTACAGAGTCAAAATATGGCCATTAGCTACCGTGTTATATGTACCACTCTTTCTTACTTGCATTCAGAGACTTGAAGATTTCTTCACATACCAAAAAAAAACAACCCAGGAGAGTAAGGAAAAAAAAAAAGTAACAGTTACAGTACAGGAGGGAAAACTGAAGTAATAAGTAGCTAGTGGACTCACAGTGGTAAACCACAATCTTAGCATCCAAAGCAGAACCTTCTGACATAGAAAAGGCCAAACATCCCTATAAAGTATGCATATATTTCAAGAGGAGCAAGAAGAGGCCTGTAGCTGACATAGAAGTGCATCATCCATTGAAAAAGTGTATTTTTAATTCTGCCTCCCAAAATTGCTATAACCTGTGAACGTCTGAGAGGCTCTTCTACGCTGAGAGGATTTAAAATTGTGTCTTCCTGCTTCTTAATTTGCATGACCAGTAAAGGAATCTGTACTCAAACAGGATAAGAAAACAGGACTTATGCCCCATGATGGAAGTGGTTTTCTGGATCCTTGGGATACCTTAAGCTATGCAGAACAGGACATACATCCTTGATTGAGCCACTGCAGGGGGGGAGTGTTGGGGAAGGAAGGGAGGAATATTACCCACCTCAGGGTTGGGTTTGTGGTTTTGTTTTTTTAAAGAAAATACAAGGGGAAGGCTAAAATAAAAGCGAAACAATTGAATAAAGTTATAATGAAGCATTTCTGGTTTGCACATGGAAATGTTTTTCACCATTGCAAAACGCACACTGGCAAACCAGACACTCTTAACAGTAAGAAATCAAGAGCCTGAGAAATCAACTCTGCGTACCTGACGAATGTGCATAGTTAGCTGGTGCTGTGTAGTGCAAATCTTTTCACACAGAGGACAGGTATAGGAAGACTTCTCTTCTTTTGTTTCCTGTGAACAAAACAAACAAAAAAATCAGATGGCATAGAGATATAAAAGAACTTGAAAGCTGTTACTGCTGGGGATGGAAAAAATATAATCTATCCTAAGTACAAAAGGCCACTGGTAACAGAACAACTTGCATGTATACATTTATCATCCTGACAGATCCCTCAGGGAAGTTTCAGAAACTTCTGAATTTATAAATAGGGGCCATTTCAACTACCGCAGAAGTACAGCAGCTGTTTTAACAGCACACGGATACTCAGCAGTAGCAGTTTAGGACAGGAAGTGAAGGCAATTATTGCGACCAGCTCAAACAGCCAGGAAGAATTTAGGTGAGCAGAAAGTAATTACTGGAACACCGCCAGAATATGTGGGCAAATGCCACTAATCTTCCCAAAAGATCTTTAATAAGCACAAGTCATCGGGACTTCAGGTTTCCCACCCCATCTCGACGGCAAGGCACTAGCCATCGAGAAAAGGGTGCCCTTTTCTAAGGGCTGTATGTTCTGCTCCATGGCTGACTCAGAAGGAAGAGCAGCATTTACTGAATCACCAACACCATTTCCCTTAGCATCCTGTGTTTCTCCTGGAAGCATCCCATCCAGGCACACCGGTCAGGCCCAACCCTTCTGAAGCTTGCAAGATCTGATGAGATCACAGCGAGAAAGAGGTGACAATGCAGGAGTGTACGTGACTCAAAAAGAACACATTATGAACACACATTATTCTCCACCCAGGTGAGAATCAGGAGTAACCATGGTCAAACCATGAGTACAAACAATAGAGCTGGCCCGAGAGCTCAGCCTGATTTAAGTATGCCCTTGAGACACTGAGCAAAGCAGCCACTCTTTCAGCCAAGGATGAAATGGCACTCTCGCAGGAACCAAAGGCGTTTGCCTGAATTGTCTGCAAGGATGGCTACTGCATGACATAAAGGGTACTTTCACCACCTCACTAAGAAGCCCAGGCGCGGCTTCTGCACCAATGCCTGTATGTTAGAAGGAAGATGGTCTAGTACTGAAAATTAAAACTCATTCTTCTGTAGAATGATGTAAATCTTCACCAGCTAGGCAGATCCACCGCCTGTTACTTACACTTCTGGTGACAAGAGAGTACAAAAACCACCTCTGCATAACCGATGGAAAAGTACAATATTTATGCCAAAAGGACGTGTTCTACTGAACCTCTTTGCTGGCTGTTTTAAGTATCATTAGTAAAACCACGAAAACAAGCGAAAAAGAAAACCCACCCTCAGTAGCTCTTCAGTTGGGAGGGAGTTGATGGGTACGAGTGTATCTGTTCATTTCCTCTCTCCACACAGCTCTTTTCCCCCATGGCTGTCCCAAAAGTCATCAACTCGGAAGCAACCATTTCCAGATCGTCAGACACAAGCATTTGTGGAAAACACTGAGAATGACTAACCCAAGCCTCTGTGACAAATTCTCTGGCATGTTAGGAGGAAAGGTGCTGACACAGTGTTAGAGAAAAGTTTTTTTTGGTCTCAGTAAAGGAATATCCCCTCTTACATGATTTGGGGAACCATTCTGGAGAGTCCCCTATTAAAAATCTAACACTGTGTTTTCAAAAATAGGGCCATGATAATTTTCTATTAAGTTCAGTGACCTGTGGATTTGGATGAAGAGCTGCTTTCCCATTTTGCCTGAAGTAAACAAAACTTGTGACCTCAGTTCTAAAAGTATCAGAACTGCAAGGATTAGGTTCTCCCACTCCTCCCTACCATTTCTCTTGTACATCTTTTTCTAACTGTATTTCAGGGCTCTCTATCCTAAAGCTAAACACTGTAGGCCATGCACACAGGCTAAGGCCTAACATACTATTATTCACAAAACATTAGAAAGCAAGCAAGCAAGGCTGCCATGCTGAAGTCTGAACACCCCAAGAAAATTAAAATGCACTATCCCAGTGCCCCCCCCCCCTTTTTATATACAAACATACAATTTGCGTACGCACATTCCATCCTACTTATACAACTTTAATTTTGCTATATGCAACCTGTCTGTGGAGTAATGTTCAGCCCCAATTATACTGCAACCCTGTTAAAGTTGGCTCAGGGCAGAGAACAAACACACTGTGCCGTGAGGAAAAACTCTGCAGCTGTGCTGACAGTTTAGATGGCGTTTAATCCCCAGAGTATTTCTGTGAAATTATCAACCTACTTTTTTTTTTTTGCCCCCCCCGTTCTACGTGATGCACTTGATTGTTTCAAAGCCTGCTTTCTAGACTGCCTGCTCTTCGAATCAGCAAATTAACAGAAGGTAGAGTAATTACTGGTTCACCTTGAAGCAAAGATCAGAAACACACTATAGCTCAGCCAGAGCTGTTTAGTGTTGAATCTGGGGTTTATTATTAACTAAAACCCAAACTTTCTCCAGTGGTCACACAGGGTACATGCCGCATACCGTAACACAGCTCAGGCAAACCCAGTGTAGCTACAACAGGAATGCTGTTGACTGACCCAATCCAGACCAAAAAACATTAGCATCCCTACTGTAAAAGCACCCCCTCTCACAAATTTAAAACATAGCACTCAGCTACCCCACCGGAGTCAGACTGGTGAAAACACACTTCCTGAACTGAAAGATAAAATTAGCAGCTAATTTGTTAGCTACTCTCCCTTTAGTAAGTCAACCTGACGTGACTGCTCAGCATTCAACTGATGGCAAATGCTTTTGGAGTTGTGCATTAGGTCTACTTGTTTTTCTCCAGCTCAAGAAATACCTTTGTCAGGCTTTTTTATTTTCTCCAAGAGCAAAGCAAATGAGAAGTTAAAATGGATGCTGCTTGGTGTGAGAACATGTTTATTAGACTATGAGTAGACTAAAGCCAAGATAAAGTCAGCATTATAAAGAGAACCACAGACTTTGGAACAAAGGTTCAGGGCAAAATGTTTCGCTGCCAACTCATGGGAAACAGCAGTCAGACCCAGAAAACTAGCTAACTGTTATTATCCTTGAAATTATAATAAGGGGCACATTCTGACCAGAATCTGAGATCTGTGTGCTGCCACACACTGAAACAATTCAGTGCTTTCATTCTGCTACACTGAAAGTGGAAATTCGTTGTATTAGAGGTTGCTAACCAGATTGATACCCACTTAATATTTCACATCTCGCTTCTATTTTCTCAGTAATGTAGCCATTTGCCCCTCTGGCGATAATGATCTTTCAGCCTAAAAACAAATAGGCTATTTACTATGTTTTCAATGTATTTGTTTATTTTTATGCTGTAAGAATCCCTCTTAATCCTGTCACATTTACTCTCGAGCTTCCTTTGATTCAATGCCCATCGAAATATCAGGTGGAATAAAGGTCACTAACGCTAATAAACCTCCCTGAAGCCAAACCACATGGTGTACCAGCAGACAGCTGTGTAATAGCACCGCCACTGAGACTAGTCTGAACTCCAGTGCCTTACTTGACATGATGAAATCAAGGAATCAGGGCAGCCCCTAAGTGGGAATACTGCAAATAAACCTTAAAGCCAGGTACTACACAATACAATCCCACAAACACAGTTGCCAGTATACTGTCCAGGCTCTTCATTTAAGAATGTTCATTTACAGTTAATGGCTTTTAACTCCTTTCAAGCAAAAAAATCCAAGACAAGTCATAAGTCTGTCAACTGGGCAGCTACTCGGCAAGCTATTAATAAACTACTATAGGAACATCACATGAGTCATGCCTCTCAACCTTTCTGGTCCCTGTTACATCTTGATTGCTTTGCAAATTCTCTGTGCCTCACTACAAGCTCTGAAGTCAAACGGACACAGTGATTTGGGGTATTTCTTGCTGTTCTGCAGCACCTTCACTGGTAGGGCTTAGCTCAGCAGGAGAAAAACATGGATATAAATAATCACAGCTTTAACTGATATGACTCTCTCCTTTCACTTGTTTAGATCAATATTGCTATCAACTGGTGCCATCAACTGGTAAATGGAAAAAAACTGATAAAAGCTACATATATTTGCTCCGCAAGATTTGTACAAAGCATTCTGCAATAGCTCTTCATAATTTTATTAACAATTAAGTAAGGGCACCTTACACTCCACATGTGTGAACTGAGGGTCCTGATGGATGTTTCGTTCTAGCACCACCTTTAACCTTAAATCACTTTGATCTTCCCGGGGACAGCTGCACACCTCATGAGGAGTCCCAGACAGTGGCGAAGCCAAGCCCCCTGCCACACTGCTCTGAGCTCCTCTCTGAGCTACTTCTTTTCTCCTAGTTTCATGAAATGAACTGGTGCCTCAACAGATTATGCAAATGCAAGAGCCTGGAGGAGAGATGCAGCGGGGAAGAAGCAGCAATCCTTAGGTGGCTTTGCCACTGCTCAGTGGTGAGCTGCTAGACCAGCTCACCACTGCATGACGTCGGACCTCATGCTCAAATGTTTTTACATGTGAATCCAAGCAAGTGGACCTCTTCGATTCCCAGTTTTCTAAAGTCATGTTCTGAAGACCCACCAGAAAACACACAGAGGAGCAATGGCAGAGGCAAGAAATACCCACTGAGGTGAAAAAAGGCAAAATGATCAAAGAAACATAATTATATGTCTTATCACTTCCCATGCAGCTGCTTGTCTCACCTTCACCCTCCCTGCATTTGGGTTTACATACCTGGTTCCTCCTGCCAATCCGATTTGGCGCAGGAGACTTTGAGGGGGATTTGACATTTTGAGAGTTCCCGCCATTTTCAGCAATCTTCCCCACATTCATCACTGCTGACATCATGGCATCAATGGAGGACAAGTCTGCTCCGTCCAAACTGTTTGGTGAACTTGGTGATACCTTGTAGCTGTTTAAGCTTTCCAGCTGCTGCTCTGGAATTAAAAACAAAAACACACATAGGAGTTGCTAGGCCATCTGAAAAAAAAAAAAAAAAACCCACAGTATTTTCAGCTGCCTGTAACTCGCATCACACTCTGCTGGATCATCATGGAGCACAGGCAACAGCCCATAATAATTGGAGTTCTTGTAACAGGAAAAATTTCTCATATTGGAACGCATAGGACGAGGTGTACATTCCTTCTAATAGGACATTCATGTTATCTTAATTTTCAACCTTAATTCAGTATGGGACTTATAGAGTGATTTACCTTAAAGTCTCTTGCTGTAAAATGGTATTATTCATAGTACCTTGTGATCACCATGAACTAGTAGAGCAGTACTGATGAATGCACGCTCTGGCAAGCACAATCATTCAAGCAAGCACGTGTTTTGAGCAGAACTGCACAATTAAGGCATTAGTAACACAGTGTAGGGCACTGGGTTCTCTTTCTAGCATAGCTTAAGCCAGCTCTGTATATGGAATAAGCTAAATTAGCAAAAATCCAACCAAACCAAAACCCCAAATCCCCCCAAATGCCTCTTTACTGCCACAGCTGGCATCTATGTAGATTTTTTTCTTTTTGGTCTATGAAGCCATATTAGTCCATGGAGCACATGTGTTACATCCATGACTAATGCCACAGCTAAAGCTGTTCAGATAGAGACTTCTCCATCACATTCTGTATGTAGCAGGGATGCTCCTGTCTCAGATACCAAATTCAAAACACACCTAAAATCTCACCTCTGGTTTCTTAACATACAGACATGTCAAACACATAGGTAAGGCCTTCCACTTTCCTCTTTACAAGTTTGAAAAGGAAAATGTTTTCAAATTAAACACTCCTTCCCCGCAAAAGCAGTCTCCCAGACAAACAGGAACTCCCTGCAAGTCTATTGCTCTGTCACCTCTGATGGAGAGCACAGAATCTTAATGTGTGTTGTGAGAAAGTCACTGTAACACAAGAGGATGTGAGGGTGAACAAGGAGGAACATGTTTGTCTGTGAACATTTGATCTCTGCATAATACTGTCTTTGGAAGATAAGTTTGAGCATTACAAACAGGTGGTTTTTTTGAGGCTAAGTAATGTGGTGCCAAGTTACTGGGAGCCAAGAAAGCTTAGTTTGGAAGCCTGCAGCGGTAGTCGAGTATTTATGTGCCCATGCTTCTGCTCAACCTATTTTATACTTTTCAGACAGATAAAGGTTAGGGATGGGGAAAGAAACATGCACCAGTGCTTCTGCTCAATGTATCATCATCTCAAGATCAATACTCAATATCAAAAAGAGTATCTTACACTCTTCACACAGATAAGGGGTATGGATGGGTAAGAAATGTTTCTACAAGCCTTAATCAATGCCCTAATTTACAGAGTCACACAGAGCTAGTCAGACCAGTTACCTTCATTTTTATCCCCTGATTGACTGTGGCTCTCTTCTTGGTTGCTGGTCTCCTCACTTAGTGTAGTATGTATAGTAGCGTCTGGCTCTTCAGCGTCTTCTTCAGCAGCACCCTCTAGCACTATGTGAGGGAGAAGGGAAAACGAGAAAGGGAGTAAGTTTTTCTGGAAGCCATTTTAGCAAAATAAGACTACAGCCCCTTAGTTTGAGAGCTCCCCTGACCGGTATGTAGGTCTGATGACAGAAGCATGTAAACAGTGCCAGTGCAGCCAAGCACCCACTCCCACGAGTGGCTGGGCACTGGGCTGGGAGGTGCTGCCTCTGCCAGTGGTGAAACCTGGGCAAACGAAGAGAGAAAACCATCACCGGCTTGCTCCCCAGTATTCAGCCAGCTAAAAAAGGAGGAGGGAGAGAGCAAGCTAGCCTATTACTGACAGTTGTAACATTTGGTTAAGAAGTTGGAAGAATATTCTGCAGATAGAGAATTTAAGTAATTCAATTTCATACACACACTCCTCGACCCTTCTCTTCATGGAGGATTAAGATTTACACCAATACGTGACTTCACGGTGACCTTTTTCTTCTTTCTAGCAGTGGTGAAATGACTACTGAGGTTTCTGGGACCATTTGGCACATTCCTCACACCCACTGCCCAAGGTTTCCAGTTGAGTTGAGGACATAAGCAACCATCGTATGTGCCGACAGAATTTCTCCACACCCCTTTCTGAAACCACAAACTTAACATGCTTATCGTTGGGGTTTCAGGAAGGATGCCTGTTCTGGCTGGAGAATGACAGGGCATTTAAACATCATTTTTAGAGGTGACAGGGAATGGTCGACGCATGAGAAAGAGAGGAGTTCTCTGCCCTCGGCACCCATGGCGATAGCCTCTGGAAAAGGTTATTTGTGATATGGAAAACTACTGATACATTTTTAATGAAGAAATACACCTTTATAACCTTACAAGCAAAGTACTTATTTCATTATAGAAATGAACACACTGTGGACATTTCGTCATCTCAGATTTACAAACTGCATCCAGCAAACTTAGTACAGGTTTTCCATTTTTCAGAAAGCAGAGACCATCGGCCTCAAACCGCGGCTAACTCAACAGGGTTTCTTCCTTTTAAAAAACATATTATCAAGGATGACATGCAAATCAGTCACGTAACACATCTTCAAATGCTGTTTGAACAGCATTTGCAAACAATAAATGACTACATTATCCCAACTACTGACATTTTAGAGCGTACGCAAAAAGGCAGACAAAGAGAAAGGGCCCGGCTTGTGTCAAGCAGTTCCTCATTTCACGCAATGCCAGACAAAGCAGCAGATTCAAGCTTCCTACGTTTAACCGCCGACCCTCTTAGGAGCGGCACACAGATGATTTGACATAGCAAGCCAGCTCAGTCTAGTGACAAAACCTAGGACCCGACTAAACCCAGTGTCTAAGGCTCTGGATAACATCAACTTTTTAACAAACACTGTTTTCAATTTGCACCTTCAAAAACAGACAAAAAGACTATTTTTATGCTATCCTGAACAACTCAAGGTAACTCTTCCCTAGTAATTTTTGTACTTTTCTGCTAAGAAAACACTAGTGGTCCCTGCGACACAGGGATTTCTTGATCCAAGGTGAGGCCAAGCACCCGTCCTTCTGTATTTTCTCCAGTAATTGTGGGAACTGTTTATTTGTTTGCCTTTATTTTGTTTGTCCTTAACTGTTATAACTTTTCTGTTATTTTATTTGTTTTTTTAAAAAGGTCCATCTCATTCAAGAGCAACACAGTAATTTCCCCCCCCCTCTATCTTTTTTAACCACTACGTGGTAGCTGACTTAATTTTGAATAGAATAAGCACAAGAGTAGTTTCGAGACTGGCCTAAATCTTCTAAGTTGCTTGCTGTTATCTGCTTAGTACCACCAAAAATAAGGACCAGTTTAAATTATTTGCAGGGTTTTCTGTTAAAACAATGCAAATAAGTGCTTTAGCCCTTAAAAAAAACCCCAACCGAACAGAACAACTCTTCCTTCCAAAGTAGATCTATTCATTCCTCTTTCAGACAATACCTAAGACATCAATATCACCACTGATACCTCCGGGAATAAGTCAATCTCTTGAGTAACTGTGAAGACTCCTGTGTTGGCCAAGGTAACTTTAAGATAGCTGAGGAACTTCCCAGAGAACTGAGTCAGAATTCCTAGTGCTGCTTTTAGCAACAGTGAAAATGGGAAATGTTCATAACAAAGAGAAGAGGCAGGCATACATGCACACGTTAACAAACATACCTCCTGGTTTAGAAACACCTGCCAGCTTGCTCTCTGTTCTTCTTTCGGGAGGAAAACTATGTATTGTGCTATTTCATAATTTCGATGAACGCCTTTCATAATTTCTATGAACAAACAGTTATTTTATTTCTGAATCTAAGTATCTTCCTGCTAACGCAAAGAAAGATGTATAGTCACAGATGTTGTTTTTAAAACCGTTTTCCGTACATTAAAAATTTCCTATTTTGGAAGCAGTTGAAAGATCGCAACTTAATTTCTGCAAAAATAGGTATTATTGTTGCATGCTTTTATTCACGTATGTATTTTCCACTCTCTTGCATGAAGCAAAAAATGCACCACTGAAACAAAGACAACTGCATGAGCAGCACACACCGATTTCAGAAGCATAACTTTCTATTAGCAATAGGATATAGAAACAATAAGAATACTGGGCCAAATCACTCCTTCCTGTGGGAAAACCCATGGCAGAGTGCCTTTAGGCAGGAGCACACTGAGAGATTTCTCTTGCAGCCTTTTTTTTGCCTTTTTTTTTCCTTTAAATAAATGCATCACTGAGAATGGGGAAGCGGGTTTTTTTTTCCACAGCACCTACGAAACTCAGGGAATCAGACAGGCAGCAACCAGCATGGATGCCCTTATGTCATGCTGCCTTCAGGACTACAAGCCTTCTCAGCTCACACAAAATGCCCCTGCCTGGAGGTCGTGCTGATGGAGCCTTCTTCCTCCCTCTCCCCAAAAGAAAACAAAGACCTCCAGGAAAGAGGACAAACAGGAAATATGCTGGCAAACTGCAGCCTCAGGTTGCATTCAACATCGGACCAAAGCCTCTAGGAAACAGGGAAGTGGTCACAAGCATTCAAGTCATCTTCTACTTTGAAGAAACCCCCCAGTGTCACAGTCATCCTCTGTGAAAAGGAGGACAAGCAGAGAGCAAGCAACAGAGCGAGAGTGCTAGCACATGTGGGGCGGGGGAGGAACCAAACAAAGCAACGCAGCAGCCCTCTTTGCACGGCCACTCTAAGAGACCTAGCTCTTCTGCAGGACCGTGTCCCCTCCACTTGATGACGTTGCTGAAACCATGAAACTGGGGCAACTTCGATCCCACAGAGAAATCTGAGGGGCCTTTAGCTCCTGCTTCTGACAGAGGCCCACCCCTGATGCCCCACATAACCAGCTAATGGGAGAGTCACTGAGAAAGCAGAGAGCTAAAAAAAAAAGAAAAAAGCCTTGTTGCTTCCCATTCAGTCTGTACAGGAAGACACTTGCTAGACCTATTTCCTCCTTTGGGATAAAGTGTGACTCCACTGTATGTTAAAGCTGAGCCCATCAACAGTTACTTCCCCCCTTCACTTATGTGTATTTATTTGTATTTAATTTTCTTGTTTTAAGACCACTCTCAACAGTCACAGCTGCTTCTCCTTGTGGTGAAGAGCATCATGGACGAAGCGAAAAGGAGAACACAGGCCACAGGGGAAGGAAGAAGAAAGGAGAAATTATGAGTCTTCAGAGTCACAGTCACTTGACTTGCCGTTGAGAGGCAGCTACACAAGCACGGAGCAGCACGTCCTCACCCCTGGGAGCTGGTACAAGTCTCTGCTCCAGACTGCTCCACTGTCTTTGCACATGAGCTCTCCCTTTGGAATAGATAGGAAGAAACACACAATACAGGCAAGGAGGGGGGAAACCTGGTGTGTAGCACAAAGCTGCTCATTGTTCTGCCTTCTGAAAAAAATCCACATTAACGTTAAAGTAGAAGCCATGCACTAATTGGGCCAGGGAAAGATTAACACTCTCAGCCAAATACTTTTATTGGTTTCATTAAACATGCCGTAGTACGTAATACAGAACACGGGGAGGAGGAGAAAACAGGGGAAACAAATGACAGTTTTAGGAATGTGCACCCCCCCACGCATGCATTTCAAACCACTTTTTCTCATGAGGCCCAAACAGGAATCCTGAGCCTTCTTCATCATTTCCATCTTAGCAACGCTATTAGCTTATTCAAGGCTTTCCCACTGTTTTTTTTTCTAAGTGGTAGAAAAAAACCCAAGGATCATTTAAATGAAGGCCAGACCTTCTAGTATACAAATTTAGACAAGAACAGAACTTCAAAGAGGGATACTGCATTTGAATAAACAAAAGTTTACTGTTTACCCTTGCGATTATAATACCTAAGAATCGCTACGCTGTGCTCCAATCAGTTTCTGATGCACTAGTCTCTTACTAAGCTTCTACACAGAGGAGCAGATTTTACTCCCAGAGCACATGGCGACACTCCCAAGCACCAATGGTCACTCCCACCCCAAGAGATGCGCACAGTCACCTGCACTACATTTTGAACATGATTTTGCATCAAAGCTGGCAGGAAGGAAAGTGGGTGAAAAGGCATCTTGTGGGAAGAAAAAAGGGTTAATGCTATTCAAAGCACTGCCTCAAGGCAAAGGAAAACCAAACGAAAAAAGTTTTCCCGACTGACCTTTTTAATACCAACTCTGCCCTTGCTACTGAAGTGTCGGTGCTGACTTGGCACCCCAGCGGTAGAGAATTATACTGGCAGCGTCACCTCACTGTCACCACTGCTGGAGCACCAGTACAGAGCAGCCTATGGGGAAAGGAAGACAAGCATAAAAAGAAAGACAGTGGCATGGGAGTATCTGGTGGTCGTTCTTTCACTTAGCATTTGGTAAAAACTAAGAATGTTACCCCAAAGGTTTCAAACTTGCACCTGTTTTCCTCTAGGGAAAAACAAAACCAAAGAAAACCAACCCTAAAAGACAACAACCAAAAGGAGCAACATCTCTTGAAAGGTACTCTCTGAGCACCAAAAGACAGACTGCTGCTCCTCTTGCAATGAACTCTCTGAGCTATACAATTGTTTTACCTGTGTTAGTGCACGTTAATACTTTGCTTCCTAAAATTAACTACAAATCCACAACATCCATATGCCTTTTCTTACCTAACATGTACACAGATACACCCAGCCACAGAATAAACATGCTCATGGCCGTGCCTTAAAACTGAGCGAGGGACCACCTTCTGTTTTGGGGGTGGGGCAGGGGAAGAAGCACCAAACAAGAACAAGATGACCCCCGTATTTCCAGATTATTTTGTATACTGTTGCTACAACATTTAACAGTTAGGCTAAATTTTAAATATTCAAACATATTTACTCCTCCTGTTTTATTTCCTTGTGTGCATGATGGGACACGCGTGTGCATTTAGTTTTTATGTAGGTTTTGAAAATCACCTTCTGATGACCTATGGACCACTAATGGTCCTCAGGACTTTGGCTCAGATGACCAAAAGCATCTCTCCATAAAGTATACCAGAATTTGAACTTAGTTAATGCCTTAAGCAAACAACAACTCTGAATCATCATGATACTCTGGTATTACATTGATGTAATACACTGAAAACAAGGAAGTTATACTAATCTAACAGTGAGATGCCATACTGGCAAAGCAGGGGTTTCCTGGATGAAATTCACCTATATGGTCCAACTGGTTTACAGCAATGCACGGAGACACCAGGCAGCCTTAATATAAAATGCATTCATACCTATCTTCTTGGCCCTGCACTCAATTTGCTAACTTGAACAGGGTACCCACATTGGCTCCTTTCGCAAGCGCTGTGTGCTGTGGGAACTGCCCTCACGCAGGAGCCTGTGGTCTTGCCAGGCTAGAAAGGAGAACCGAGCACACGCTGCTCCAGCACCAAGAGCGAAAGCAAAACCCGACAGCCCCCAGGCTCCCAACAGGTCTCTGCCAGCACGCTCGGTAGGCACCTCAGAGGGTTTGATCTGAGCCTGCACCGAGCTCCCGACCAGCACTGCCATTCTTGGGGACAGAAGCACCATACAAACGCACGGCTGCAATAACCTGCGGCCGCATTTAGGCTCAACAGCTGCTGCTGAATTTTGAGATTTTTCTAACGCCTTAGTCCTCCTCCCCCCCAACTGAAGTAGTATCTACGAGCTGTTCCTCACCCTCGCTGTTCGTATCAGCTTGTGGGTGAGCACCAGGAAGCCTTTGTCACCGAACTGCAGTCAGCTTCGAGAGCTTGTTCAAGCAAAAAGGACACTGAGATTAGAAGACAGCTTAACAAACCTGGGGCCAAGAGCACCAGTTTTAGACACGCAAAAAAATAAAGTCAGGGCAACAGCAGAGTAAAACAAGCGGCTGTAAGCAGACATCCCTCCACTCCTTCCCGTATAGACAATGGCAAACACCCCTCCATCCTCAACCTTGCCTGCCCGTGCAGCCGTTGGGAGGCCGGTGGGGAGGGGGCCTGGCTGCCCCCAGTCACCGGGAACCACGGCGACGCAGGGGGAACACAGGACAAGACGGGCCTTGGGCCTTACCCGGCACATCTCCTCCCCTGCGCCCTCCCCGCTGGCTGAGGAGGGACACAAAAGCAATACTGTCTGTCCTTATAAGCTCTGCTTTGCATGTGTTCGGGGAGCGGGGACAGCTGTGCGGACGACTCGCAGAGTTCCAGGAAGTCGATGTGTTTCTTGGCTTTGACTCCAGTTTATTTGCCTTAGATGAAGTGGCGACCCGAGAAAGTCCCTTGACGTCCCCCCCGGGCTGGCACCGGCCACAGCGGGGCAGCGTTCCTTGGGACATGGGCTGGGGTCTCTCCCCACACCGATCAGCCTTTTCTGGTCCGGCCACCGCATCTCTCCCTCAGGCCAGGGCTGGCTCACATCCCACCGGCCAAGGGGACGGCCTTGGGACGCGGCGTGGGAGAGGGTGGGAGCCCGGAGCAGAGGCAGGGGCCGGCGGGAGCGGGCCCTGAAGGCTCTTCCCTCGGCAGGCGGGATGGAGGTGTCTCACAAAGGCGGGAACGGGTCAGGCAAGTGGCGTCACGCTGCCTGCCAAAACCACTGCTGCCCACACGGCCCCGAAGGAGCCGAGGACAAGTCAAGAGAGTGGAGGGGCAGGGGGAAGCCGAAGTGAGGACCAGCGGGCATCCCCATCATACACGTCTCCCTGCCCAACAGGCTGAGGAAGGGGAGGTGCGCTTGCCCGAGGGGAGCCCCAGTAACCCCGGGGAAGCACGTCCCCAGAACACAAAACCTTGTCTGCTGCTGCTGCCACCTTAGACAAGCAAGAGGGGATGAGGGATGCGAAATGAGGAAACAATCTAAAACATAGCTCTGTGGGTTTGGGTTTTTTTTTTTCATTTTTACTTTGCCCTGCCAAACCCCGTTAACTTAAAACCCTGAGGGGGGGGAAGCTATAGGTTGAAGTCCCATCACCTACATGGCTAAGCGAGCACTGTGCTGAGGGAACGAGATACTTGTCCAAGAGCCCAAGGGGTGAGCTAGACAGATTGCACTTGGGGGAGCCAGATGGAAAACATTTCTGAGTAACGGAGAAGAAAAGCGACCTTCCCCTCCAAACAGTCCAAATTACAGCGCCCCTCAGCTCCGACTGAGGAGAGGCTGCACAGATGCCGGGCGGGCAAAGCGGGACGCTGGGCTCAGCCGGGTAGCTGTGACGGAGATGCTGACATCTCTGACAATATACGGCCAGTCTAAACCACGGGATATCTTGTCCTTTTAAGGTGGGCCAAGAGCAAGCATCTGTGCAGCAGCAGCAGCACAGGCCCAGCCTGCCATCAATAGCCCCTGGTGTCACTGAAAAAACAGGGGCTCCTGTGCCATACCAACTGGCCGTGCAGATGCCCAGGCACCCACGCCGAGAGGAGACAATCCATCCGGTTGTTCCTCTGCACAGCATCACGGAAACAAGAAGGAACAGTAGTAATGAGAGGAAGAAAAGCCACGAAACCATGCTGCTGGGCTGCTCACTGGCAATTGGTGCCGGCAGCTGTCAGGGAGGGAGGGAGGGCCTGTCCCCATCCCCATCCCCGTCCCTGGCCCTGGCCCTGATGGCCAGCAGCTCAGCCAGGGGCAGCTTCGGACCCAGGACTCGAGGCAAAGGTTTAAAGCAAATCTCTGAAGGGAGAAACGAGCAAACATTTCACCCCCTCATGCTTGCTCTTCACACGTAGCCAGAGCTGTGTGTGCGCAGCAGGACGGGTTCGGCAGGGATTAGAGAGGCAGGATGAATCACACCGAGGAAGATACAGAAAATCTCCTGTGCTAGTGCCCTGCTTCTTGTGTGGCACCCTGGTTGCGATCCTCTTCCTCCAGGATGGATTTAAAGAGAGCTTCACAGAGGGCCTGAATGCATGGGCAATTTTACAAAAACCGTTCTGGAAATAGGGTAAGCTAAACCAGGAAAAGACTCTTTCCTTTCGGAGTAGCTATGTTCCACATGGCATTTCACCACTGTAACTACAACCACATGCTAGCAAATTTCCTTGCGCAGGCAAGCCCAAGGGGGAGAACATTGATTCGCTTACTGCAGAGCCCCCAGTGCATCCTTTGCAGGCCGACCACGCTGTCTTTGCGGAAGATGCCAACACACTCTCTGCTTGGAGCACCGTACCAGGTAGCATGCCAAAGCACTTTACACCTCGCAAGGTAATGCAGTAAAATGACGCACAACGTGAGAAAAGAAAGTAGAAGTTACAGGGATTAAAACTCATTTCCTGGTGGTAGCGTTGTCAACCATCATGATTTTATCACGAGCCCTGTAAAAATTTGATGGTATTACATTACTGCACAAAAGTCTCAAACTTTTGGTTTTTTTAAGTCAAAGTTCTAGTTTTCTGGGTTGTGGAGAAAGGACAGAAACGTTACATGCTCAGCAAACTACCAGAAGCAAATGGAAGTGAACGGATTAATTTTAAAGCCTCAAGTTTTTAAGGATAATCATGATCTCAGATGCTCAACCTATAATTTCTTAACACACAGGGACAGCAAGACAGAGCGTCCCTTCTTTACACAGCACATTTTGTACCCTGGAATATATACCTTCCAAAACTAAAATGGCTTTTTTCTTTTTTAAAGAGGGAAAAGAATTGCAACATCTCAGCACGTTTCTAACGCTTTATTTAAAAGCCAACACAGCTGCACTTTAATGCTACGTAAAGATGAGAACCTCCACCAAATCACCAAACTCATTTTAAGCAGAAAGATTCAACATGCAAATATTTTGCAGAGAATGATTCAAGAGTTTGCAGCTCTTCTCGCTGCTCTTTTCCAGGGAGCATGACTTGCTGACAGGATTAACTACTGCCAGGCTCACGAAGCTGGGAGACAGCTGCCACATGGCAGCCATTTATTACAAAGCTCCACTCCTCTAAAGTTAGGGAAGAGGCAGACTATTTCATCTGTGTTATCAGCAGGGTTCCTCTGCTCCACAGGCTTTAGTGACTAGGCTTTTTCTAAACAAACACCTCCTCTTCTCCCCCACCTTGTTAACATCATTATCTTCCTGTCTTCTGTTTCTGGTCAGCACAGGAACTATTCCCCCTATCACACTCTCCAAACAACAACAAAAAAATCTATAATCAAGACAATTTAAAACATTCAGAAACACACATACCCCCCGAAATAGATTTTTTAGAGAGTTTTAGCTTGAAATTTTAAGAGGGAAAACCACATGCTACAGGGAGGAGAGAGAGATGTGCTGGAGCAAAGGGATTCAGAAGAGTGCT